GTGGGACTCGATCCCGGGACTCCAGGATCATGACCTGAGCCGAAGGCAGTCGCTTAACCAACTGAGCCACCCAGGCGCCCAGTATCTTGTTAATTTTTACCAAAAAAGTCAGCTTTGGATTGGGACTGTTGTACAAAAGATTTAGAGAGAACTGAGGTCTTAAAAATCCTGAGTCTTTCCATGAATATGCTATAGCTTTCCATTTATTGAGGTCATTAGTTTTTCTCAGCAATATTTTATAATTATCATTGTTACAGAAATAGGGATATATTTAACAATATATACAAAGAACTTCATGTTTTTGGATTTTATTGGAGATGATTATTTGCTGAAGTCTTTAGAAATACAAGTGATTTTTGCATTTTGATCTTATGTCCTTATCACCTTGCTCAGCTCCCTCATTCTAGCATCTTTTCCAAAGAGTCCTTACCACACAATCACGTCATCAACAAATAGAGATGATTTTATTCTTTCTTTTGCAATCTATGTGCCTTTTTCCTTGTTTTGCCCCATTGCATTGGCTACCATCTCCAGGACAGTGTTCACTAGAAGTGCAGAGAGTGGGCATCTTTGCCTCGTTCCCAATCTTAGGGGGAAGGCATTTAGCCTTTAACCATTAGGTATGATATTAGCTGTGGGTTTTATGTAAATCTTCTTTCTTAGGTTGGAGTTCACTTATATTCCTGGTTTTCGAGAGTTTTTATCATCAGTGGGTGTTGAATTTTGTGAATTGTTTTTTTTCTTCATCTGTTACGTAATGATGTTTTTCCTCCTTTACTCAATTAATATGGTGGAGTACATCAATTGGTTTCAAATGTTAAACCAACTGTGCTTTCTAGACAAACCTTAGTCATGCTGTATTATGTTGCTATAGTCTCCTTTGTGTTCATAAGAGATACTGGTCTCCAGTTTTATTTTCTTTTTTTTTTTTAAAGATTTTTATTTATTTATTTGACAGAGACACAGCGAGAGAGGGAACACAAGCAGGGGGAGTGGGAGAGAGAGAAGCAGGCTTCCCGAAGGGCAGGGAGCCCGATGCGGGGCTCGATCCCAGGGGATCATGACCCGAGCTGAAGGCAGACGCTTAATGACTGAGCCACCCAGGCGCCCCTCCAGTTTTATTTTCTTGTAATGTTTTTGATCTTAGTATCAGGGTGATGCTGGCCTCATAAAATGAATAGAAAGTATTTACTCCTCTTTTGTAAGAGTTTTTCTGTGCTATTTTTTATTCCTTTAATGTTAGAAATCACCAATGAAGTCACCTGGATGTTGAATGTTTTTTTGTGGAAAAATCTTGTTGATACTAATTAATGTCTTTATGTAGAGCTGTTAGATTTTTTTTTTTTTTAAAGATTTTATTTATTTATTTGAGAGAGAATGAGAGAGAGAGTACATGAGAGGGAGGAGGGTCAGAGGGAGAAGCAGACCCCCCGCTGAGCGGGGAGCCCGACGTGGGACTCGATCCCGGGACTCCAGGATCATGACCTGAGCCGAAGGCAGTTGCTTAACCAACTGAGCCACCCAGGCGCCCTGTAGAGCTGTTAGATTTTTACATCTTCTTGAGTCAATTTTGTTAGCAACTTGTGTCTTTCAAGGAATTTGCCCATTTTACCAAGGTTTTCAAATTTATTGACATAATTTTCATAGTGTTTTAAAATATCAACTTTGCTGTGGTTTAGTTCATATGTAATGAACCACATTAAAGTGAACGACTGAGTGGATTTTGACATACACCCCCCCCATGAAATCACTGCCCTTACAATTAAGGTACAGAATATTCCCATCATGCCTCATTCTCTCTGCAGTGGCTCCAACCACTGAGGTGTTGTGCCATTGGACCTTAGTTTGCATTTTTTAGAATTTCAGAGAAATGGAGAATACATTATGTACTCTTTTATTGTCACTCAGCAGAATGATTTTGAGATTCATGTTGCTGCATGTATCAGTATAATGAATAGTATTCCATTGGTTGGACCACGTTTGTTTATCCATTCACTTGTAGACATTTGTGTTTCCAGTTATTGGCTGCTGTGAACATTTGTGCACAAGTCTCTGTGTGGCATGCCTTTTAATTTCTCGTGAGTAAACACCTAGGAATGAAATGGCTGGGTAGTGTCAGGTACATGGTTGACTTGTGAAGAAACTGCCAGTTGTTTTCCTAAGTGGCTGTTATTTTACATTCCTACCAGCAAAGTGTAGACTTTCAGTTGTCCTATATCCTCACCAATACTTGGCATTGTCATTCTTTTTGATTTCAGTCATTTTAATGGGTATGTAGTGGGGTTACATTGTGGTTTTAATTTGTATTTCCCTAGCGTCTGTTAATGTTGAGCATCTTTTTATATGCTCATTGGCCATTTTGTGAAGTGTTTGTTCACATCTTTTGGCCATTTAAAAAATTGGATTGTCTTATTTTTGATAAGAGGATTTTCTTTTTTTTTGGTAAGTTTGTCAGATAGTTTCTCCCATTCTGTGGCTTGCTTTTTATTTTAAAACAATGTTTTTTGAAGAGTAAGCATTTTTAATTTTGATAAAGTCCAGCATGTTAATTTTTTTTATGGTTCATACTTCTTGTCTCTTATCTAAGAACTACTTTTCCCAAGGTCAAAATTTTTCTTTGCTTCCTCTTTTAAGTTTTATAATTTAGCTTTTACTTTTATTTTTTTTAAATATAATTTTTAATTCTTCCTTTTTTTTTTTTTTAAGATTTTATCCATCTATTTGAGAGAGAGAGACAGAGATAGTGACAGAGAGCATGAGTGGGGAGGAGAGGGAGAAGCAGGCTCCTCACCGAGCAGGGAACCTGACGCGGGGCTCGATCCCAGGACCCCGAGACCACGACCCGAGCCGAAGTCAGAGGCCCAGCCAACTGAGCCGCCCAGGCGCCCCGGTTTTTACTTTTAGAGCAGTTGGTCCCCACCCCCATCTGTTGGATATGCAGTGATATCACCTCTTTCTGATGTTGGCGATTTGTGTTCCTTCATCATTCTTAACAATTTTGTTGATCTTTTCAAAGAACAATTTTTGCCTTAATTTTCCTTGTTTTTCCATTTGCCAACGTGCCTGCCAAAGGGCTCTTCTGGGTCTTTCTCCTTGGGAGCCCGTGAAGGGGAGGCCCTGCCCAAACACCCTGTGATGAGAGCTCCCCACCTTCCAGAGGGGTGGTCATCCCAGGGCAGGGACCCGGGGCACTTGGGTGTTTTCTTCTTTTCTGTGTGGTCTATATTTTTGCTGGTTATTCTATACTGTAAAACACAAACTTCATATTAATGAAAAGAAAGTTTGGTATCCCCTCCATCTCCAAGACAGCAAGGGGAGGAGGGACAGGTTGTTGTTGGTGGCCGGGACACTTGGGTCTCCATGGCAGGAAGGAGCCTGTCCTCACACTGACCCAACTCTATTCACTTTGCCTTCTGAGTTGGACGATGTTTGAAGATCATTAGAAGGTACTTAGAAATGTTACCTTTAGAAGTTTCTGTATCAAAGTGACCTCTGTCCTCTGCAGGAGAAGTACAGTATCGGGGAGCCCACGGTGCCATCCACCATCGCAGAGGAGTTCACCTACAACCCGTTCATGAGAGTGAGGTGAGGGGGCACTCCATGTCTGCACCTCTGCCTCACTCAGCCCAACAGTGTCCACTCCCCAGCCCCCCTGCAGACCCCAAATGCTGGAGGCTGCCCTGAACTCTTTATCAAGCACTGCATAGCCTAGGATGCAGGTATCTCTTCTCAGAATGGGGGGATGCTTTCCTTGTGCCCTGGCAAGGGTTTGGGGTCCTTTCTGACCCTGGAGGGTCTCGGGGAGCTTCCACCTGGGCTCTGACCGACGCCAGCGTGGAGTTGGTGTTCCCACTCTCTGGGTTGCCGGCAGGACGGCTTGGCCAGCATGTCTTCCAGTTAGGAACACGCAAGCTGGCCGCTGGCTGTAGCATTTCATTTTTTAAGAATGTCCCAGCTTCTGCTGGCTCTTTTTGTCCCTGGTGCCCTGGTAGAGGCGGTGGGCTGGGTGAGCATGGTGTGCAGCCTGGCGTTTGGCTTCCGCAGGGAGAAGACCGTACAGCAGCATGCTGGCGAGACTGACCCCGTGACCACCATGAGGGCCATCCGCAAAGAGAAGGACCATTTCAAGGTGCCCCGGGACTGAGGCGGCTGTGGGGCCTGGGGTGCCCGTGGCTGCCACCACTCTCAAGCACATTTGGGTATTCAGATGTTTTAGATAAATTTCCTGCCAGGAGTGCAGGAAATCCAGTCTTGGTTTAATTTTAAATTAATCTCAAAGCCCTTTGCCCGTGTTATCAGATGTTCTAATGCATATTTATAAGAGAAGTTGAAAGTGTATTCCTGGATGCTCAGCTTGCAGACTGTGTGTTCTGTCCGGCCTCCGGTGCGCGTGGGAGGACCCAGTGGGGACAGACGAGGCTCAGGGTGCGGCCAGACCGAGGGCACAATGGGGGCAGGAAGGGCTGTCCCCAACCGGCTCATTTTTGCATCTGGAGGTCTTCCTCTGTTCTGGATGTTATCCCTTTGGCTTTGATCTGTGGGGGAGAACGGTGCCGGGAGCGCTGTCCTGGCAGCTGCTGGCTGCTCCCAGTTAGGACTTCTCCAGCTGAGGTTGTGTGTTGCCACTCTCCCTAGACGTCCTCAGGCCGCTCAGGTCACGTGTCCAGGTCCTGGGCAGGTATGGGGCTCCCGTTGATCTGCTGCTGCCGTGTGGGCCATGGTGCTGCACGGCTGGGAAGCACGGAGTCCTTCCTGTCCTAAGATGATGACCCTTAGATAGAGCCGGAGCCCCCCTGCTTCCCGGGTTGTCATGGAATGGGGTTTGCATGGGACCTTCTAGATGTTTTGTTGTACAGCTCTGGAAATAGCCTGGGCATCTGAGGGTGCGTCGTGGTGCTGCCAGGCTGTACCCATCCGCGCTGGAGAGTGCGCATCCGGGGCGGACCTGTGGCGGCGGGCCCGTACCCCTGGGGCCTGCAGGGCATTGCCGGTGTCCCCTGGTGCGTGTGTCCCCCGTCTGCCACTAGCATCCCCCACGGTCCCCCTGCTCTCTTGGTCCCTGTGCTCCCAACTGCACATGGAAATGTCAAACAGTAGACAAAATATTTATAAAATATACGGAACAGAGAAAAAAACACACCCCATCACCCAGCCTCTATGGGCCAAGAGCCCCGAATATTAGCTGTTGTCCTTTGCATGTGTTGTCTTTGGTGAGGGGGTCCTGCTGGGCCACCCCCATGGGCTCTGGAGCCAGACATGTGGCTGAGGTCTTGGGTCTGTGACGTGAGGCTCCGAAACGCTCACGCGAGCACTGCATGCCAGCCACGGAGAGCAGGCATTTCGACTCAGGAGAACGTTCTGGGCCATGTCCGCCACACCTGTGTGCAACCCGCCGTGGGGTGGCCTGCTGCCGCCCCGGGGAGGCTGGATCCCATTCCACACGCATGCTGCCCACTTGGGTTTCCTCCTCTGGACCGCTGCTTCACCTGGGCCCCCCCCCCCCCCCCC